CCCCGCGGGTCGGCCCCCGCGGTGGGGGTCGGGGTGGCGGGGCTGGGCCCGATCCGTGCGGTGGGACGGGGAGCGGGTCTCCGGGTAACGCTTCTTAACGGGGGAAGCGAAGGGAGGCGGGAATAAGCTTATCCACCGAAATGCACCTTCTTCCCTGTGCGTGTCAAGGTTTGCATCACGGACGTTAATTTCTGGAGGGAGAACTCGTGAGTATGTGCTAAGAAAGGGCTGGGAGGGACAGGCACTGGTCGTTAGCCTCAGTCGCTAGAAGCTGCTTGTCTCTTGTGCTGGGTGTAATCAAAGGGCAAAGCACGTGTCACTTTTATTATTTCATTATTTTCTCTGTTCTGCAGCTTGTGGCATTCTGGCTATTGACAAGGCCAAGGAGCCCATCACCTTAGTTCTGGCAGAAGATGGCACCATCGTGGATGATGAAGATTACTTTTTGTGTCTGCCACCTAACACCAAGTTTGTGGCACTGGCCAAGAATGAGAAATGGTCCAGCAAAAGCTTAGGTACTCGGAGGATGAGGGAGCATGGAAGGGGAGGGGTGTTTGGAATACACCTGCTGCAGTTAAACTGTCTCAGATGGATCAGGAATGACCCCTGAAACAAATGACTCTTGTGTCAGACAGTGGAACAGCCTGGCCCTCGGAGTCTGCAGATGAAGTGGACAGTGCTGCAGAGAAGTGGAAGCAGCTGGCCAGGCAACTGAAGGAGGACCTGTCCAATATCATCCTGATGTCTGAAGAGGACCTCCAGGTACAGTGGGGAAACCTCTAATTCCTGTCCTGCCCATTTATCTCAGTAGATGGCAGGGAACAGAATAAGTGAACAAGATCTCAAGCTTCATTCAGCTGCTGCTCTTTGGTGCTAGAGTCAAATTTCTTGAGGGGAAACACAAGTGTCTGAGGAGGATGCTCTTAAAAACTGATTGTCCCTCACAGCATGGCTTTCCAATTCTGGCAGCAGGAAGGCAAAATGTCAAGGTTTGACCAAATGGAAACTGAGGTGGGCTCCTTCCTTAAAACCAGACACCTGTATAATGTGTCAAAAGGGAAGGCTGAGGAGCACACTAAATCTATCTGCTCCAGAGGGCTACCAAGAACTGCTGTCGGTTTCCAGAGCAGATTAATTGGAGTACCTGACTGCTTAACACCTTGTATGTGGTGAAAGCTGCCACCTCTTGTCCTCCTGCAACATGCAGCTTCCCAAAGCCAGGCTCTTTGCTTTCCTGTTTGTATTCCTATGGGCTCTTCAGAGTGACTGCCAGGAGCTGTCAGGATTAAAAATACACATATGATTCCACACCTTCCTGAATGTCTTTTGGCTTCTGGTAAAGAATTCTGGTTGGTGGAGTGCCACTTACAGCCTCTCATAGCTGAGCTGACTTGCTGTAACAAGAAATCTTGTGAAACATGTTGGGTTTCATGAAGGTGGAGGCTCTGTCATGCAGGAGGCTTGTGCTGTTTGTACTGTCATCTGTGTAATAGAGTGAGTTACTCAACCAGCCCAGGTAACAGGAGCATTCTTATTGTTTTAAGGTGCTAACTGATATACCATGTTCAGACCTGGCAGAAGAACTTGCCCAAAGTCCAACCAAAGTCCAAGTATTGCAGGACACCTTGCAACAGGTGCTGGACAGACGAGAAGAAGAACGGCAGTCAAGACAGCTCCTGGAGCTCTACCTACAGGCCTTGAAAAATGAAGATAGTATCTTAAGCAAAGTAGCAGGTAGGGAGCATTAGGAGGCTGGTGAAGGAGCTTTTCAGAGATGCCTGAAATAATTGAATGGAATAAGGCAGAGTGAAAGAGCTGAGCAGCTATTAATGTGGTGGGTGTAATAGCTGGTACTGTAAGAATTCTCTGACTGGGTGAGACCAGGAGTCCTCTCAGTGCTGCATCATGTTTCTCATAAGGCCTTAAAAAATACTGGGGGAAAAGCTTAAATCACAGTCATCTTTAACAGTATGGATTTCTGGAGTTAGAGGATGCACCTAGACAGAATGCCTATTTTATTAATCTGAAAACCATCCAAGCAGTCCAGGCCATTTTTCCTGTCCTGTATTTGTCCCTGGCTTATAACATTTCTGCTACTTTTCAGAATCTGAAGCTGTACCAAGAAAGGAGATGGATGTGGTTGACACAGGAACCAGCAGTACAAGCAGTTCAGTCAAAACAATGCTCGGTGACCAGATCCTTGCTGCTTTGAAAGAGAAACCTGCTCCAGAGCTCTGCTTGGACAGTCAAGATCTAGAGGTGGGTGAGAATAACATACCTATATTCTGACAAATATCTCTCTTTGGAGAAAGTGGCTATAAAGAGAGCTGTCCTTGCTTCTGGAGGCTCTAACGTCAATGTATCTCAGCCTCAAAGTGGTGAAATTTAATCTGTTTCTCTTCCTCAGTAACACTACCCCCTGCTTGGAGCTCCTCTGTAATAGCCAGCTGACACTAGTTCAAGTCTGTCCTCTGAAAACCTAGAAAATAATTTTGGTTTTGATCTCTGCCAAGTCAGAGTCAGCCAGTGCCTCAGCTGTCTTACCAGTAAGGTTTTTTTGTATGCAGATGCACCTAGCTATACTTACTTTATACGTCCCAAATCTAAATAAAAGCCTCCTTATCTTGAAAAACAGTGTAAGCAAACCCATAGCTTGGAAAGGAAGGTCTAGGTAAACTTTAACCATTAGAAAGTTGGGCTTTTTCTAATGCTATGAACTTGGTCCTCTTCCTTTTCTCTGCTGTAGAAACTAACTGCTTTCTGTTCCTTTGCACAGCTGGATATACCTCCAAACTAAGTGTTGGTAGAGTATTGAAAATCCAGTAGCCCATGGGATAGATGATGAAGCTGAGAACACCTTCACTACCAAATTGCCAGCACCAAAAAGACTTAGAAATCTGTCTTTCTGTCTTGCTACAGCTGGTCTTGAAAGAAGACACACAAGTCCTGGCCTCAGCTCTAAGATGGGACAAGCAGAAAGCTGAAGCTGTGCAGCAAGCCTGTGATCAGGAGCTCTCCAAGCGTCTACAACAAGTGCAGACTTTGCATTCCCTAAGGAGCATGTCCAAGGGCAAGAAAACACTCCCCTGGGGAGACTGGCCTAGTTCAAAACGCAAAAAATAAGACTGTAGTGCTGCCTGCAGGTTTGTGTTTGTGTGGGGTTTTTTTGCATTAGAATCAATCCAAGCAAAGATACATCCTGGAAGCCATAGTTTGCTGGTCATGCTGTGGTCTGGCTTTAGAGAACTAAAATCTGGACATTGTCCCAAAGCTTAAACTCCTGTGATGATTCAAATTATGTGTAACCAAAGGGATTTTGACTTTTGCAGACTACTAGAACAATGGTATTGCTAAACACAGCATGTAAGGGTTCAGCTTTGAATACCTGGTTGGGAGCCAGAAGCTTCCATGTGATAATGATGGATCTGGCTGCTTAAGCCCCAGGCAGTTTGCTTGCTTTGTCCTCCCACCATTTTCACTGTGAAGGATGGAAGACCTCTGGAAGGCACATTGAGGGACAGTTAGTGAGCAGGGCAGAGGGGTCAGGCAGCTGCTGCCTGGATTTAAGCACCAGACTGGGATCTAGGAATTGAATAATCATGCTAATTTCATTGGTTAAATTAAAGGCCTTTCACTTCTGTGCTTTTTCTGCCTCTTGGACCAACTTGTAAAACACAGCAAAGGTGGAAATATTTGCTTTGTAAGGCTGTGGAGCAGAAGACTTGTATCTCCCCTGTCTTTTTTGCTCTCCTAATCATTGGTGTAGTATCACGATGCTTTTTTATTAACTGGCTTATTTTTTAATTTGTTTTTTTTTCTAATATCATTAAAGCCTTTTTACTTGTTGGACTAGTTTTGATGCTGCCATGATTCAATAATGTGCTAAGTACAGTATTACCTTAAGGAGAGAGGAAGAAGAAATTAAATACAGAAGTACTCTCTATTTAACCTGTCCAAAGTATCTGGGTAGAATGCATGTTCATACTGGTGACACTCACCTGACACTATCTGTTCCCTTGTGAGGACTGAACAAGAGAAACAGTGCTTAAGTCTTTCCTCTCATGATGCATTTTTTAAACTGTCCTGGTCAAGCATATGCCTGCTACATAAAGTTCTCCCACAAGTGGCTTAAGCAGCCTTCTCATTTCTCTTGGCTATACCTAGTATCTTTAAACCTGCCTCTTTTCAATCAACATCTGGTCAGTCTCTACGGTTCCAGCAGAGGGCAACAGCGACACGTTTCTGAGCACCACCCGGGAGCCACGTTACTGCACTGACTCTGAGAAGCTATTAAAACAAAAATGAACTATTTAAAATACCTAAGCAAAACTATAAAAACATGGAAGCAAGGATGAAGTCAAACAGTTACTGGAGAAAATCAGCAGCGTGGAGGGAGTTGCACATGCTAAGGCATTGTGGTCAGTAAGCATATTCTGCTTTAAACTCTTTATTTAAAGTATTTTCTTTTTCTTAACAGTAAGTATCTCTTTATGAGAAATTAAGGCATTTTAGCGGTGAGCTGTACTGAACTCTAAGAGACCTTTCATCTTTGGAACAAAAACATCCAACTAATGATGCTCACCTAAAACCTGTTGTTAACCTGCAGGAGGGACCTCTACTAGGCTAACCTGGGTTGGTAAGAAAACAACCAGATGTTACTTGAAAGTTAAATCATGCCATGTTGGAATCTTCACTTTCAGTCACATCTGGTTCTTGTTCCCCAGTTCTACCTCCCTTAGCTGCACTGGGCTTCTTTTTCTTCCTCTCCTTTTGCTCCATGTTACTTGATACAATCTCTTCACTCTTCTGGGTGATATACTTGAGCTGAGAAAAAATAAATGAATTAGTCAGCTCCTCAGGAAGTTCATTTATTCATGAGAAATTAGAGAAATGTTTAAGAGAAATGAACAGGGTATGATCTTACTACAAAAAGATGACAGACACTCCAAAAAGGCTGACAAAGTTTTAATTCCTGCATGAAGCCCTCAGTCTGAGCTGGATATCCTCAGATACTGAAATGCCCTGGCAAAACCAGGATTTATAAAACCATCTCTAGAACCAAGACAGCAACATCAGCAGTTACTCGGAGTTGTAGTTTGCCAAGACACAATCTGATACAAACACAAAACCCAGCTCCAGCATTCTCAGGCAAGTTCATGTTGCATACTTCAGATCACAGATGGAAGGAAAATAGCCCCTCACATAAAGTTAATATAGGATTATTCTTCCCTATGGAAGCACTTACAGATGTGTCTTAGCACATTAGTGAATTTAAGTCCACTGACCATCATACAGATGAGAGCACAAGACAGATTACAATCATGTGAATCATCCCTATATTAATGTTAGGAGACAGTACCACAAAGTGGACTCAAACTATTCCTGACCATAAGCTAAAAAAAAGGAACACCACATCAGGAAAAACAGTTATTTACTTCCAAGATTGACAATGCTGTAATGTCTGCTTATTGAACTTTTGTACTTGGAACCTCAGCAGCCCTGTTGCAACCAGAATATTGCTGCCTGAATTGCAATCTGATCTGCTCCTCCAAACAGGCACAGTGTCATGAAGCAAAGTAAGATGAAAATGTAAAAATTACTGGATTGTGCCCATTCATCATCAATAAGCCAGTGAAATTACTTCTGCAACAGTTGTTTCACCATCTACAGCCTTCTTAGGAACAAACCAATTGGTTTAAGAATGCTGTGAGACAGAAAAGACAGTGAATCTCACCAAAGAATTGCTCCTTCTAGCCAAAAGTTTCACATCTTCTGTAGTGACTGTGCTTCGTTTTGCATGCCTGCATAAAATTTAAAAATACTCCTTAGTGTGTTTGCCAGCATTGGTTGTAAGAGGCCATACAGCATCTCATTCAAACACTGACAGAGCTTAACAGGGACCCAGCAAACCAAACATGACAACTGTAACACATTAAAACTTCTTACAAGTTTGAACATGTACATCTGAATTCCCACACTTCCTGTGTAAAACCAGAATTTAGCAAACACAACACTGTTCTGTTCCCTCTTCACTTGCCAGTAGGTAAATATGTTAAGTTTTGACCCCTTAAAACATTCCCTGACCGTGGAACACTGTTCTGTTCCCTCTTCACTTGCCACTAGGTAAATGTGTTTTGACCCCTTAAAACATTCCCTGACCGTGGAGCAACCAGCTGAAAACACAAGCACACCAGTATCTGTCCCTCCCAACCCATCCAGTGCCACTATGTATCAGCTCACTGGACCATTATACACAATCATTCATCTCAACAATCACTGGTACCACATAAAAAAACTTCTAAGATCAGAAAGAACCTACAAGGGAATATCTATTTCCTAATTCACAGCCACTAATTTAATCTGCCAACAAAACTTTTAAAACTTGAACTACAAGACATATTTTAAAACTTATCTAGTTATTGGAACTGAACACAAAAAAAAAACCCCAAACCTTTGTAACAACCAAGTGTTCCAGTACCTACCTTGCAAACATTTCAAGGTCTTTTGCAAAGGTCTCTGGAGAAAACACAAAGATACCATGTATTTTAAAATGCTGAGGGTGAGATAATACAGTTCTAGCTGTTACAAAGGTGTGAATTATCCAAGTTAGTGAGAGAAGCCACCATCACTTGTTACTTCGCGCCACCCTGTGCCCCGGGCAGGTGGGCCACACAATACTCCCACACACATTTAAATGCTTTTCCCAGGCCTGAAAAACAAAATCTCTATTCCTTGCACTTTCAAAAACAACGCAGCAGAGCCACCTCACTCCAGCACTACTCATGTTTTTGAGAAAGCCTCGTTTCTCCAGCCATTCCCCTCGCACAGACACTCGGCAAGCCCGCGTACCGCACTGCCTGAAGGTGATCTCGGAGATGGCTGCGATGGTTTGTTTGCTGAGCTGCACATCCTTCTCTTCGGCCACTTCTTGGCACAGGCAGCCAACCGAGTAGTGCACCGCGGCCTTCAGCCTCTGCGGGGACCAAGGCAGCCACGGG